CTAGCTATTCTTTATTTTTTGGACCATTTTTCTCCATTCTTTATATTTTGTGTCTATTATTCTCTATTCTATAAACCCCTATCCACACCCTCATAAATTAAAATTACGACAAAAATGCATACTTATGGCGAATATTTGCGAGTGTGAAATATCGAATGCATGCCAGAACCAAATGCTTATTATCATGACAGATGTTGTTCATAGACAAACGACATGGTAAGTTATTTAGTTGGTACTTGCATGTGCTAATAATTTATGTATCCTAAAATTATAAAATTGAACAAGATCTATGTAATTATTTTATTTACGAACAGGCGTATTAGTGACTTTTCCATGACATCACCGCTACTTTTATTGTTACGTCATTGAAACTACCTGTGCTTAGGTTTATTGGGTATTTATCTCATTTTAAAATAAACACAAAAGAAAATTTGAAGTTAAGATTTCAGTGAAAAGTTATAGAGACAAATAAGGGAAGCGTGAATAAGGCCCTTATCGCACCATATTCCTTCTTAGTAAACAACTTTATCGGCCTTTACTAAAGAGTCTATATACACAAGTTGCATGATACCATGTTGGGTCATGATTCAAAAGTAAAATAACAAAATTACCGAACTCTAAGAAAAATTCAAAACGGAAAGTCCCTTCTCAAATGGCAAAATCAAAAGCTCAAACACATCAAACGAATGGAAAACAGCTGTCATATTCCTGACTTGGTACGGGCATTTCCTTATATAGAAAATGGTGGATTTGGGAAAATGGTATCCAAGTGATACTGTGCCTCAAAGAACTTTGAATTACATTGTCACAAAATTGTGATAACCGTGTATATATATATTTATATATTATTAAACATTTAGCCATGAGAATGCTAGATACGATATAACATTTTTATTGATGTAGAACAAGGAAGTATTTCACAGTGTGAAGACACATGACACCGACTATTGTGGATATATAAATATATTACCAGGAATTAAAATGGAAAGTTAAATAAATTCCATTGTTATTGTCGGAAATAATATCAATTTTTATAAAATATACTTCCCACCAAATCATTTACACAATGTAAATATAAACACTAACTGCAATTTTTTCTGTTTTTCGCACGGATCTTCATACACATGTATTGGTTTCTATTAGAACAAAATAGAAGTTTGAATGTGCATTATGCAAAAAAACAATGCAAAATTTTCAAAAAATGTCTTCCTCAGAATACATAATAATTGTTACTATGAATTTGGTATAGGATTTATAATAATTGAAAAAAAAGCAGGTTTCTCCTTGTCACTGCCGCATAAAAGCAGAGTATAGCTTATGACGTGTTCCCTCCTGCTAGAAAGCAGAGTAAACCGATTTTGAAAATTGTTTAAATTAATTAAAACATATACAATGTACCCTTTAAAGTAAGAAAATTATATTTTGTGAGGTAGTAAATGACCTAGCGGAACAGTAATATTTTGCTATAATGTGATATATAGCTTGACACCAAGTATAGTATATAATATGTAGGTAAATGTTGACAGGCAGTGAAGTTCCAGATTGTAAATATAAGCATGATTTCAAAGGACAGTCAAATGGAAGAGTTCCAACCCCTTGATTTGGCACTGCTCAAAATACCCGATAACATATAACTTCTACAGAAAACTTGATACAAGAGTTGCAACACCATAAAGTTTGCCTGATGCAATATTTGAATTATTTTTAATAGAAAATGAACTATCTAATTGAAGTCAAGGTTAAAGGAAACAAGTGAGGTGCACAATCATGTTCATAAACATCATGGATACACATAATCATGTAACTTATGACGTGCACAATCATTAACCCTAGGATTCCCAAGACACAACCCACAGCACTGCATAAAAGAAAGCAGAAAATATATATATATATATATATATACATAACTCGTCTCAAATTTAGCCCAACAATGTTAGATGCAAATTTTTGTTCTTCCCTCAGCGGGATTCGAACATTTGCTTCTGTGATATCGTGGCAACACCGCCTGCACCGTGTCCAGCGCCTTACACCACTCGGCCACCTAGGCTACATAAACATATAGCTTTCGGTGGTTATCTAGGGTTGTAACACAGTACATGATGTATAGTGGCAAGTAGATGGTGTACCTTTCAGATAGCTATTTTGTCTGTCGTAAAGGATGATAATGTAATATATATATTCTGAGTAAATAGTTTGAGTCATAACTCAGAAAGATTAACCTGACAACTGGAACATGAAAATGAGAGCAAGGTCTTATCATCAACAACCTACGTACATAGTGTTGTTTACTAGGTAGAATTGGGGACAAGGTATTGATTAAGGTATTTGCAAGTGTCAGAAAAATAATACCTATATACATAAGTCTCATCCGAGACATATATATGTTACAGGCATTTTCTAAATTTAGGCATTTGTAAAATGCCTTAAAACTTTAGGAATTTTCTAAAATACCTGCAAGATTCAGGAATTTTACATAATGACTAATTTTTCTAGGCATTTAATAAAATGCCTGGAAAAATTGAAAGGCATTTTAAAAAATGCCTGAAATTATTTTATAGAATGAAAAATGACATAAGTGTAGTTCACATAGAATAGAAGAATGAACTCCGACATACAAGTTGATTGAAGTAAACGAAGGCTTCAAGCGTTCCGTATACATGTAAATCTGATTTTTGATCTGCACACTCTTAAAGATTCTGAAATATCCAACGTCATTTCGTGATAAATTGTCAGGTTAACCGTTTGATAACATAAGTAATTACATACTAAGGTCAGAGACATATCATACTACTAGTATCCTACTAAAAGAGCCTGTGTCGCTCACCTGCATCTTCAACAATGGCTACCAAAATGTTTTTGTATGAATTCCACTGTTAATTTCTTTCGTCTGTGTTGAGATTTCTGTGGCACAAACCCTCTACCTTCAATAATGTAATTGCCATTTCCTTTGCTGGTATTTTCAAATTGTAATTTTATGTACATCTCCGTTTATTCGAGACTATCACTTCAGTCAGTTCAGTGACATTGCAAATTTTTACTTTGTTTATGCAATGCCATAAAAACAACACTGAAATGTTATCTGCCTCTACTCTGTAAAGTATGATCTTCAGATGAATTTGTAAGGAACCATAAGAGCCACATTCCAACTGAAATAGTTTCCATAAGAATTCCAAGTAAAAAACTCAAAGTGCAATATGAGGGAGCTGCCTTGAAATACCATGTTAAAATGGGAGAGAATAGCCCACAAAACATTTCAAACAAAACTAGTTGAGTAACAGTGACACAAACCCCACCAAAATGCAGGTGATTGCAGGTGCTCTGGAAGTGTCAGCAGCTCTTGCTCCACTAGTGACACCCCTCAGTCTACTCTTGGCAAAACACGTTGATTAATCACATCCAGTGATTAGCCATCACACAAAAATCATCAGTCATGTAAATTCTCTAAACTAAAAAGATGACTAAATGTGAAAGTTTGAAATGAAAACAGAGTCTTCCAGGACAAAGGGAAGAACAGACACTGAAAAATAAAACAGGATAAATATATTACACTAATAAAATGCTTCCCTGAGCACAGCCTAATACGACCACAGAGGTCGAACCCTGAACAGTTGGGGCAAATTTGGACACAATATTCAAGCTTGATACTGTCTGAATTTGGATTGTGATCAAATTTTTGACATAATATAGGTTTCTGACACAAAATAAATGTGGTCAAAGATCTTACAAATCTATTGCGCAATACTGTGCAATTGAAGATTTCTTCTTGAACCTTTTCAAAAATTCGAAATTTGAAAAATTTTGAAAAAAAAATATGAATCCTTTAAAAAAATTGTTAAACAAAAAATCCCCCCCCCCCCCCCCAACTTATTGAAACCCCCCTTGGAGCAATAACCCCAAAACTCAATCCCAGCCTTTCCTTTGTAGTATGGAATCTTGTAGTATAATTTCAGAGAGATCCATACACTTAAACACAAGTTATTGTCTCGAAACTAGAAAAATGCTTCTTTTTGGCCCTTTTTTGGCCCCTAATACCTACATATTTGGGACAATTAACCCCAAACTCAATCCCAGCCTTCCCTTTGTTATATGGAACCTTGTAGTACAATGTCTGAGAGATCCATACACTTACACACAATTTATTGTCCGGAAACTAGAAAAATACTTCTTTTTGGCCCTTAATTCCTAAACTGTTTGCCCCATAACCCTTAAAATAAATTCTAAAAAAATTTCATAGAGATCCATTCACTTAAACTAAAGTTATTGACCGGAAACAAATGTTTCTTCGGACAACGACGCAGATGACGACAACATCATACCATTATACGATACCAAAAAATTTTTTGCGGTCGTATAAAAACGAAAGCAAAATCAATTTCTTTGAAACAAAACCAGGAGTGAACACAGGTGCTCTAGGAGGGTTCACTAGAGGCCATTGTCAGGTGCTCTGGGAGGGTTCACTAGTGGCCATTGTCAGGTGCTCTGGGAGGGTTCACTAGTGGCCATTGTCAGGTGCTCTGGGAGTGTTCACTATTTGTCATTGTCAGGTGCTCTTGGAGGGTTCACTAGTGACCATTGTCAGGTGCTCTGGGAGGGTTTACTAGTGGCCATTGTCAGGTGTTCTGGGAGGGTTCACTAGTGGCCATTGTCAGGTGCTCAAGGCAAGTACAAATTTAACGATAGGTTGCATTTGTTGATGTCACAATCGAGAATAAAAAGAGGAAGGGATTGTATCTGACAAGAGCAGCATATCTTTGATCATCTGTGACACAGATAAACAAAGTAATGCATTTCAAAGTACTTTAAGGTGACAAGTCTTCCCGTCTTATTTAATATTCTAAAGTCTCAATATGATAAATACTTTTATGATATAGTGTTGAATAATCAACCAAAGGAGTAGATTCTATAGGGCCCCAATATCATGATAACACAAACTTTTATATGTTTGGGGCCAAACTTACTCCTTTATAGACATTCCTATGTTAATAATAACAACATGTAACTAAATTTTAAACCTTTTTTATTAAAATCTGATGAAAATGGAAATGACTTATATGAACTAAAATAAATCTGATATTATGAAAACATAAATGTCCTCCTGCTACATTCTATGGTTGTCCTTCAAACCATTTAGCCATTCAAAGTTTCCTATTAAAACATATCAAGTCTACATTCTTGCACTTGTTAATAGAATCTGTTTTACACATCATTCTGTCCACCGATGAACACACTGTTGATTCGTACACACATAATATAACCTCATTCCTTCCTGTAACACAAATTAATACTTCTTCTTTAATTATAATCAACATGACAAAACAAAACATTAACAAAAACTCTAATTAAGGAAATGACATGTTTTGGCAGCTATCATTTAGAATAGAAAGTGTCTTCTAAACATTACAACTGTATTTGATGATTTTTCGTAAAGAAACATAACTCTAAAATCTGCCAGTTATAATTCTTTAAAATTTCCAGTAGCAGTTTCAGTGCATATATTGGTGAATAAGGCATATTACCAACCATTAACAAACATTCGTCTCTAGTATCAGTTACCAAATGATAAATGGTGATCATCTGAGTATCTACTGATTATAACATTTATAATCTATTATTCTGTTTTAATTTCTAACCTTAATTTTGTTATGAACATTTAAGACATATATTTCTATTCATTCCATGTGTACTGCATCATTTTTCATAACAATTAAAAACTTTTTATTGTTGACTATTTTCTAGAAGTTATATCATCTATATATTAACATTGTATATATAAGAGTTCCATGCTCTTGGCTTCATCCATGTTCAAACCATTTCAACTTCTTTACAGAAAAGTTAATTGCTTCTTTACAGATACATCAGTTGGTGGTCTGTTATAAGGCAAAATTCCTTTTGACCCTATCCGAATTGCCAAACTTTTTCTTAGTAGCAGTAAAACTACCAAACTATCTTCCTATGAACTAACCTACCTAACTTATTTGCAAATGTATGGTAAAACTGAATTATATGAAAACCATTGATGTTAATTTCATGATTGTTCTTTTTAACCTTTTCATGCTCAATTTTGTAACAAGATTTATGTTCAAAAGATAAGCCATATAAATTGTAAGGAACACTATAAAGTTTGTCAGACAGTTAATTAATTCAATGAATACACATTATTCTACATAAAGAAATTTACCTCTGCCTTATTACTGTGGGACTGGAAAAATACAGATTCTTTGTGTTGACATTTAGGACATGGATGGTCCTCTGTTCTAGGAAGTGTGGGATCTGCTATCACATCACCAATAATTTGTGTCAACTCACTGTAGAGAAAGTAAATATTGATACAAACAATAGTTTCTGGTATTTTGATTAGAATTTCTTTTCTTTCAATCATTTGATCTTTGCTATCATTTCAAAAGCATTTTTTAACATGTGGAACCAATATACTGTGGATTCATTTATTTTTGTGGGTACCTTTTTTTTGTGGGTTGAGGAAAACTTGCATTTTCGCTAATATCTGATTTCATGGTTTGCCAAGTTTTGTAAGCATACCTGTAGAAAATATGTATGTCATTGAACATTTAAAATTTGTTTTTCTGCTTTCCTCACGAAAATTGGTATCCAACAAATAATAATGAATCCACAGTATTTGGTTTCTTTTTCCCTTTAAAAAATATAAATAATAATGTAGAATTTCTTAAATTTTCTTCCCTTTAGGTTAGCAAAACCTTCGTTATTCAATTTCTTGATTGAACAGAAAATTGTCTTTCTCATTTGAAAAAAAAAAACAACAACAAAAAACCCAAGCACACAGAAATTGTTATTATAATAAAATGTTACAACCATACTGGTTTTGTGGTCAACTGCTTTCCCTTGTTTTGCTTGTTCCCTATTAAATTGGTCTAATATTTTTTAAAATAGCAGTATTTCAAAATGTATGTTTTTATCATAAGTGCAGAGCTCTTACTAACCTGACATTAGTTCTACTGTTTTTTTAAGGTCATAAATGCTATGAAAAGTCACAAATATGATTTTAAACCATGCAATATATCGAAATACTTTGCAAAATAACAATACTTGATTTTTTGTATTTTAAGAAGGTTCTCAATGTATTAACTTCCTGTTTATTGTTTTTTACTCCACTTCATGTGTAATCTTGTTGACATATAAACAGGGATTATCTTTACTTACTCCACTTCATGTGTAATCTTGTTGACATATAAACATGGATTATCTTTACTTACTCCACTTCATGTGTAATTTTGTTGACATAAATACATGGATTGTCTGCTACCTGTTGGTAATCACAATTTCTACACTGAAAGAAAAAATCTGCCAGTTAAAATTGTTCTGAGAGGGTGGACAGGGGGGTACCCATCTCCCACCTCCCGCCCCCCTTCCTCCACCTCCCCCCACCTCCCTCAAAAACTGTCCACCCCCTCAGTTCTGTTATAAATTTTCAACTGCCTTTTTTCTCATCAAGCTATTTTATTAAATTTATTTACCATTAATAATTAAATCTTAACTTTACAGTGAAGTAAGAAAATAGGACATGATAAATTGTGGTATAAGTTTTTTCCACCATCATATATGTTTCTGCATAACACTGTTGTCAGATGATACAACATATCAAATGGCTTAACTTTCATAAAACCAACCAAAATCTTAATTACAGTATGATGGATTGCAAATGTGTAGATCAAAATCACTTGTTAAGCTGATATCTGCCATCTAGATGACTGAAAACCAGAATCAAAAAGTAAATAAAACATTAACAGCTGTGCCCTGTTGCCATTTTTCATGAAACACATTCAAAGGAAGATAACTCCAGCCAAAAAAAAAACTTAAAAATGAAAGGTAGTTGGTTACCTTTATTGGTTGAGATGGAAATGAAAAATTGCATTTAGTAAGAAATGTTTGGGTTATTTTATAGCAAGTGGAGGTTGAATTTAAATAATAAAAATACAATAACTAAACAAATGAATATATTCAACAACCTTAAAAATTTAAAACTTCTATCAATTTTTGCATTGTGTTACAAACTTTACTTATTGTATGATTGTGTGAAATTCAATCTCCTTTTTGTACAATAAAATTTTGAGACTCAAAAATCAACAATTTAGACACTACCCTAGTAATCAAATTTTAAAGTAAGCTGTCTTACATCAATCTTAACAGTGCATTAAAATTTCATACAAATTAGTCTAAGTATAATCTGATTTTTGTGCAATGGGTATAGATTAACAGACAGCAGTCTAGCTTAATACCTCTCTTCATTGTAAGTCTAAAAAAAAAAAATGTGGATAGTGTCCACATGTGGACAAGATGATGCCCTCGCTTGCATATCATATAGTTATAAAGGGACATAACTGAAGAACGGTAAAAGTGACGCTACCCAAATTTGAACTTGTTCTGAGTTTTGTGGTAATAAGCATTGTGTGTAAGTCTCATAACATTTAGTTGAGGCTAACTTTAGTAAGAACAGAAACTAAAAATTCAGCAATTTTTCTATTTGTAAACACTCTAGAACGGTTGTGTACAAGTTTTATAACATTTGGTTGAGGCAAACTAAAAAATTCAGCAATTTTTATGTTTATAAAGGCACATAACTCTAGAATGGTAAAAGTGTCGCCACCAAATTTCGTACTTAATCTGTATTATGTAGTAATAAGCATTGTGTATAAGTTTCATAACATTTGTTGAGGCAAACTAAAGTTAAAGAACGGAAACTAAAAATTTTGCAATTTTTCCATTTATAAAGGGCATAACTCTAGAACAGTTAAAGTGACCCCACCAAAATTCAAACTTGATCTGTGTTTTGTGGTAATATGCATTGTGTATAAGTTTCATAACATTTGGTTGAGGCAAACTCAAGTTAAAGAACGGAAATTAAAAATTTTGCAATTTTTCCATTTATAAAGGGCATAACTCTAGAACGGTTAAAGTGACGCCACCAAAATTCAAACTTGATCTGTGTTTTGTGGTAATAAGCACTGTGTATAAGTTTCATAACATTTAGTTGAGGCGAATTTAAGTTAGAGAACGGAAACTAAAAATTTTGCAATTTTTCCATTTATAAAGGGGCATTACTCTAGAACGGTAAAAGTGACACCACTAAAATTCAAACTTCATCTGTGTTTTTTGGTAATAAGCATTGTGTATAAGTTTCATAACATTTAGTTGAGGCGAATTTAAGTTAGAGAACGGAAACTAAAAATTTTGCAATTTTTCCATTTATAAAGGGCATAACTCTAGAACGGTTAAAGTGACCCCACCAAATTTCGTACTTAATCTGTATTATGTAGTAATAAGCATTGGGTATAAGTTTCATAACATTTGGATGAGGCAAACTCAAGTTAGAGAACGGAAACCAATTTTGGGACGTATGGACGGACGGACGTCCGTACAGACGGACAAGGGTAAAACCTAATGCATAAAAAACAATGAGGGAGTTAGTATAGTATGATACAAGTGCAATACTTCTTCTTCAAACGACTGCAATTTTTTTTTATAGTAAGTGTTAGCTATTCCAATCTTAATCCCTTCTACAAAAGATTTTTTCACTGGTTTTGAGGAATATCATAAAACAAACTTGAATGATTGTGTGTTTTGCTTTATAAAAACTCCCATCTTGAAGATGTCAAAGGATTTCCTCCACATTTTCCTCTGTCAGATTCCATGTAGACCTTATTTTTCATAACTTTCTGAGCTGTTTGTGACCATGAGAGAAAAAACTAACCGCTTTATACATGTAGTGTATAACTTTTTTTTTATTTTTCATGAAATTGGTGCTTTTTCCCTGGGTTTCTCTTGATGACAGTTCTCATTAGGTCACAATATATATCACTTATGGTTTTGGGTTAAATAGGAACAAAGGTGCTGAAAAATGGTCATGATAGTACTGCTACATTTTACTGTGACACGTACACGTATAACTGTATCAAGGATAAGCCTGTACTCAACTGTGCATTTAAAAATACATTTGTCTTTGTTGACACTTCTATGCCTGTAAAGCATTCTGTTCTAGTGGTATTACATTTGTCTTTGTTGACACTGATATGCCTGTAAAGCCTTCTGTTCTAGTGGTATTACATTTGTCTTTGTTGACACTTCTATGCCTGTAAAGCCTTCTGTTCTAGTGGTATTACATTTGTCTTTGTTGACACTTTTATGCCTGTAAAGCCTTCTGTTCTAGTGGTATTACATTTGTCTTTGTTGCCACTTCTATGCCTGTAAAGCCTTGTGTTCTAGTGGTATTACATTTGTCTTTGTTGACACTGATATGCCTGTAAAGCCTTCTGTTCTAGTGGTATTACATTTGTCTTTGTTGACACTTTTATGTCTGTAAAGCCTTGTCTTCTAGTGGTATTACATTTGTCTTTGTTGACACTGATATGCCTGTAAAGCCTTCTGTTCTAGTGGTATTACATTTGTCTTTGTTGACACTTTTATGCCTGTAAAGCCTTCTGTTCTAGTGGTATTACATTTGTCTTTGTTGCCACTTCTATGCCTGTAAAGCCTTGTGTTCTAGTGGTATTACATTTGTCTTTGTTGACACTGATATGCCTGTAAAGCCTTCTGTTCTAGTGGTATTACATTTGTCTTTGTTGACACTTCTATGCCTGTAAAGCCTTCTGTTCTAGTGGTATTACATTTGTCTTTGTTGACACTTTTATGTCTGTAAAGCCTTGTGTTCTAGTGGTATTACATTTGTCTTTGTTGACACTGATATGCCTGTAAAGCCTTCTGTTCTAGTGGTATTACATTTGTCTTTGTTGACAATGCTATGCCTGTAAAGCCTTCTGTTCTAGTGGTATTACATTTGTCTTTGTTTACAGTCACTGCTATGCCAGTAAAGCCTTCTGTTCTAGTGGTATTACATTTTTATTGCCCCACTTCATCTTGAGTGTTTGGACATCAATAACAAATCCTCTAACATTGACTACATGTATACAATGATGAGATTTTCATCAGGTACACTTTTCATGCTTTTACAGAAATAACAGTAATCCTATATACCAGGGTTCAGTTTACTTATATTTTACTGCAATGTCTAGGCATTTATTTAAGTTTTCTGCACTTCTCATTCAGAAGGGCTTCAACCTTTCCATTAAAAAGTCTTCTAATACCTAACTGTAACCTATGTGATTAAAATATATTTACATTTTTGTACATAATGAAGCATTCATATTGTTACTAAAATATTTTAGTTATCTCAGATTTTGAATCTATCAATGACATATTTACTTACAGCATACAAAAGTATTTTGTTCTCTTTGTCTTCTTTAGGATACAACATGTTGTTGCTGGAAAAAGAAAAGAAATAATAAAAGACACAGGTTCAAAATTTCCTTACTCACTGACCCTAGAACTGACTGCTTTTTTTACAACCTTGAATTCTTCTTTTATTCTGTACTCCTTAATAAATAAATTACTTTGCAGTAATTAATAAATTAAGGATGTTGTTGTCTTTAATGTTGTTTTATTCTGTAATGTGTAAGTCATTTCAGCCAATGTTGTTTTCTTTAGGTTGACAGAAATTTTATTGTTTATATTCACATTTGTTTAAATACATCAGAGACATGTTTACACATACATATGTCTCTGAATACATGTATCTTATCTTACTTAATAAATTTTCAAAACATTCATTTTATTGTAATGTAATAAAAATGTACAAATCTAAATAGTAATAGTCTGTACATCTTTCTAAAAGAGTTCATGTGATAAATATTAAGGAAAATTTAATAAGGAGTTGATTGCAAGTAAAACATATATTTAAACAGCTGTGATAATTACTACAATTGTGTATCAGAGGGTATTAGAATCAGCTAAGAAGGTAGGAGATGAGTGACATAAAGTAAATTATAATTTTAAAATACAAACTGTATATGGTTGCATTCTAACATGTCTAACAGTTTGTAAATATTTCATATTTTTACAATACATAATGTTTATTTTATTTCTTTATCAATACTGTATAAATTTTATTTTCTAGTAAGGCTGATATTTAAATTACTAATACTGTGCAAAATAATTTAACGTATAAGCATAACTTTCAGTTGAAATAATATTTTATATTTTCATGATCATCTTATTTGGAGAATCTGGTATCAATGGTGTTTCTGCTTAATTTATTCACAAGTTTTTAAAAGACTCAGGAATATTTAGAGCTTGACATATTGTACAGACATATTTCTTTTGGTCATTGTTGTGGTAAGGTTGCAGTATCATTGATGTAAACCTTACATCTCCTTTCATAATAAAATATAAAATACATTCATTTTCTGAAAATATTTATTAAATATAAGGTTACCATGTTTGGGGTGTATGTCATAAATTTCAATAATATTGCAACCAGACAGCACAAATATCCAAAACGCATTTTGAGGTCAACAAAGGGACTTGATCGGTTGACAATGGTCAACAGGTGTCTCAGTGTCTAATTTTCAAAATACCTAAATTACTAGGAGTCTAAAAAATTGTGCTCAATTCAAAAGAGACAATCATGCCATCAATTACAAACTCTGAAGTAACTTTATAATAAAATATAGAAAACAAAAACTTTACAACAAACTAAACAATAGCAGTCTTCCTGAAAAACTTTTTGACTTGTGAGCCTGAAATCAATTGTCATAACATTGCTTCAAGTTTAATTCATATGGCTTGTGAGGGCTCTGTTCAGAAAAATTTAGTGGCTGGACTTAATTTTTACTGGACTGGGTCATAGGGCTTGTGGTAACCAGGTTACTATACTCAATGGTACATGTATATTAGACACAGGACTCACACAACTTCATGATCATAGGGAGAAGTGAGTTCTCTTTTTGAGACAGATAGGGAGAAATTGTTATTAATAGTTGCACAATTATATGTTTTTTACTTGTCAGAAACTGCCAACTAAATATCTAGAATGTCATGACAATTTAACGTTTCATTTTTTTATTAAAAGAGAAAAGAAACTATCTTTTATCAACTTAAAAGTTCAATGAGGAAAACTATTCTGTTGATGAAATTTATTGCTTCTCATCATGCTCATTAAAAGATGCGTAAATTTAAAAAGTTTAGGAAACTTAAATCAATAAATTGAAACAATACATTTACATGGTAATATATATATATTTTAACTAAGGGGATTTAACCAAATGTCTGTTAATGCCTGTACAATGATATTTTTTGCTTTGTGATCATTATTCTTCTGTCAGCTGAGCTATTTGTGCATCTGTAGTTATTATTGTGTTAAAACGGATTTCGGTCATAGTTGGTTCACGTCGGAGCCATGGTGTCTGTCCAATCCATGGAGCGTGTCAGATCCATGGTGCATGTCCAACCAGTGGTTCGTACAAATATTTCATTGGCAGAATAAACAATGTTTGACAAGCGATTTGGAAATGAATATAATGTTTTTCATGCAATAGATGAATGAAACATAAACTACAGGCAATTTTCATCACGTTCTAATGAAGTAACAAATTTATTTTGCTGAAAATCTGAATTTTTTTATGTACGCTCTTGAGTATCAAGAAGTGAAAGAAAATACTTATTAAAAAGTTGGTTCTTTTGAAATGACATACGCCCGATCTGTAAAGTCAATACTTTGACAAAGTTTCTAAAGAAAAATATTGTTTCTTGTCTTTGAATTTAATTGCTTATACATGTAAATGAAAAATTGATGTTTCATCAACTTGGTAAAAATGGAAAATTGCCAATGATGGAAGCGAATGAAAGCCACTGCTGTGAATATCCAGGCGACTAGATGTTGCCTTTGACGGTCGGGAAAAATGAAGTAACGGACAACAAAGCAACTTCTTTGTCCCCATTCACCTGGTAGAGTGAGCCCTAGACACAAGTAGTAACCTGGAATTTCATTATTCATAAATTAAAATACAAACGGAATTAACCAATATATGACATTGGGAAAAAAAAAACAATCATAGCTTAATCCGACCAAGGACAAGGCCCCCAAATCTTTATTTTTCTTTCTTTTAATAAGAGTATAAAAAAAAAAAATTATACTATTTCAACAATTTCGGGTGGATCTCCTGTAGTTGGTGATCGCAATGCTGGTATACTAGTTTTGTGCACAATACTGGTATAAAAAGTTTGTACCAGTATTGTATTCCAGTATTGTACCAGTATTGTGTTTTTTTAAAATAAACAATACAAATAGGTAATTAATCTTTTATTAAAGGTGTCACATATATATGCATTATGATATTAACATATGACATGACAATTTTATATGGAATGATTGTATATTTAACTGATGATGCCATTGATGGTACACTGTGATTGTAATCAAAGAAAGTTTTAAATCTTCTGATGTTTTTTTCTTAAGGGAACCGTACTGTCTCAGCATTTTAACAAACTCTTTACTTTCTTCTGTGTTTTCTTCCAGCTCTCTCTTTCCAAGTCTCAATAGTATATTTTAGTGAATTTTATATTGACATTAATGCTGTTATAGCTTCTGTATCATCAGCATTGGTATTGTTTATTTCTTCTTCAGATGGCATTTCTGCAACCCCCACTTCCTATATTGATATTTATGTGTTCAGTCTGTGGACTTTCTCTTACACTTACTAGATTACAAGCTTGTTTAGATAGCACCTGTACGGCTCTCTTACGGTAGGAGTGCTTGTCTAGTATTGGTATTTGAGTATTTGTAATTAGCAATTAAATAATTAACAATTGTTTGAATAAGATGAGTTAATTACAATAATCTTTTGTTTATTTGTACAAGTATAGTAATTATTTTTAACTGGTTGTTAATTGATTTCACAATTATCCTCTATAATCTTTTTGAGTTCATTTAATCTCCCTTTGAACTTCAATATCTAATTTTGCTTAAAATTTTTCATTATACACCTTAAAGTATAGTGAACAAAACAACTACAATACTGGTATATCAGTAATGTACCAGTATTGTTGGGTTTTTTTTTAAAAGTTACAATACTGGTACAAAATTTGTATACCAGTATTGTGGACAATACTACATGTAGTATACCAGTATTGCGATCACCAACTACAGGAGATCCTTTCGGGTTTAGGATTTTTTTCTTAACTAAATTATCTTATTATGAAAGTAATCTTTCTAAAGTAATTTAATATATAAACACAAGAAGTACTAGTCCAAATAATTATGAAGTCTTGAAAGGCTATTTTATTTTTTTATTTTTTTCTGTGACGCCTTCCTTCGATTAATATTTTGCCAATTAAACAAATATCTGTAAATATTTTGAGCTAGATTTGAAAATTAAATATACCATTCTTTGCAAAATTTAATGCCTACAAATCCAGGACCATCATCGTGTTGTTCGTAGATGTCCATTTCTGTTTTGACTGCAAAAATCGACGTAAAACAGCAGGTTAGATGCCGCTTACGTTCATGAAATGTTTTAAAAGGATACTAAAATAAAGTATCGGGTCCGTTCGCTCCCAATACACGTTCGCCCCTTGGGTCCGTTCACATCCTATTTTTATTGAAAGACCGGTTGAATTATAAGATGTTTTTTATGTATAAATATCGAAATATTTATATTTCTATGAATATAAATTCGGGAATTTTTAAATATCTTTTTTTTTCTTTTTGAGATTTGATGATTAATTATTAAATGTTAATTATGTATTACTGTTAACTGGTATTTACAAATCTAAATTTATTATCATTGTTCTATGTTTTGAAAATCATAATGAATAACATATAGAAATACATGTTCTATATCGTAACTGATAGCTGTAATACAACACCAATTAAGCATATATATATATAACATCCGTTGTTCGACCTGCTAGTCAAATGCGTTTTGTTAGAATATACCTTTTCACTTTTTAGGTCTTTTGGAAAATGTTGTTTAATTGTGTTGTATTTTGACCCCTCTACCAAGGAATCTGTTTTGCATGCACACGTATAAAAATTGCGGTTTTTATCCAACGCAATCATAGGTTTGAACGTTGTTTTCAATTTAGACTTGTATATATATACTAGAACACACCCGCGGCATCGCGTGTCCGTGACAGTATTACAGTACCTATTCGCCTTATTTTTAGCCTGGATTTTTAGTATCCGTATTGTCTTTTGATAAAGTCATGCTGATTATAAGGTGCACAGTTTTCTCTGATTTAAAAAAAAATCTTTGTTTGAACCCGTCGATATATTATATTAGTTATATATAAAGTTGAATTCGTCGTTTTTACGTCATGTCGGATAACAAATTGGACCTCGTTATTTTAGTAGTATTGATGTTACAGGCATTTTCTAAATTTAGGCATTTTGTGAAATGACTGAATTTTTAGGCAATTTATAAAATGCATATGCCTAACCTTGACAGGCATTATATAAAATGACTAAAAAAACCTAGTCATTTTACAAAATGACTGAAATTTTGAAGCAAATTCAACAAATTGCCTGTTCCGAGTTTCAGGTAATTTGTTAAAAAAAGGATATTTATCATTCAGATGCAAATGACAAAAACACAAAGAAAATAACTAATGGTTCGGTAATATTGAGATTATTCTTCAAAACCAGATAAGAAAGTTTATATACTTTTTAGAGAAACTACGTTAAGTATGTACTAACTCTGTATACCAGATAGTAATTTGATGATCTTCTTGTCATGCTAGCAGGAGGACTAACTGTTCTTACCATAGAAAAAAGTTTACAAACACATTTTTAGAAAACCTAGATTCAAAACAGAAGTATGGAATATAAACCAGAGAAAAGGAAGCGTGTTTATATTGACTGTTTTTTTTTTTCGATTTTGCATACAGTAGCGAATATTTTATTCATGTTTAAGACGAGAACAAATTGATAACAAATCAAAGAGGTAAGTTCTGCAATGGATAAAGGACAGGAATTTTGACTGCCTTTTGATTAAATATATGTTGTATAGGGACAAAAAAGTTTCATCAAATTTATATATCCTGCACAGGCAAAAGAATTCCCCCTCTATATATATATCATGGGTTTCGCAATACATTGCCATGTTTAATTGTGATACAAAGATATGAGTATCTTCAGCTTCACTACCTAAAGTGAATTCTTGGGTCTTTACAATCTGATGAATTAATGCGACAATAGTAAACCATTGTTCAAATCTGGAAAATCGACCAAGAACAAAAAAATAAAGGTGCATCTACAGGGTAAGTGTCGCCTGCTTATGGATGCATCATCCGACTGCGTCAGCCTGTTAGATGCTCTGATAATAGATAGATGTCAGTCAACATAATCATGATAATGTGACTGAATCTGTTGGAAACTCATGCAAATGAAGGTATTCATGTATATGCATTTTGCGAAACCCAATGTTGGTCGAACGTAAAAGTGTGTTATCCTAAAACATATTGACAAAGCTAAATCGTGTGATGGTCCGGGTTTCACCTACTGTGGTTGTAGCGCTTAGACCAGATTTTACGCCAAACAATGTATTTGCAAAATAATCAAGACAAATGTGTAACAGATCATGTCATTCAAACAGTTGTTGTTGTCTCTTTGACACATTCCCCATTTCCATTCTCAATTTTAGTATATAAAATAAAAAATAAGTGTCAAGTTCGGTGCTTGTGGGAATTTCGAATAATTCAGTAGAACTTTTTTTTATTCATTAAAACTCTTAAAATGCAAGGTTTAAAATTTGAAGTAATGATCATAGATAAAACTGCTCTGTTGTTCGATACTTTCAATTGCCCAGTTTTTGTGAATATTTCATACTATAAAATAATTTCAGGCATTTTATAAAATGCCTTTTAATTTTTCCAGGCATTTTGTAAAATGCCTGAAAAAATTAGTCGATATATAAAATGCCTGAATCTTACAGATATTTTAGAAAATGCCTAAAGTTTTCAGGCATTTTACAAGATGCCTAAATTTAGAAAATGCCTGTAACATATATAAGTACATATATATGTTGGAACCAAATTCAATCTTCTTTACACGTGGAAATAAATGCTCTGTAGGTACTTATAGCTGACATGCAACACCGTGAACACCTAAAAAACATGTGCTTTGTCTGTCCCCCGGTTTTTGTCTTGGCAATGTCATTGTGACGAGTTTGATAGCCGCTTGGTATCTTCCTGTTTTCTTTTACAAGTCTAAGGGACTTATCATTTTTTAACTGGGAAGGGGGCGGGGGCTGGTAGAAATGTAGGGGGGTCAAGTTTTTTTTTCTGTAAGTGGAAAAGGAGGGTTCACTTTTTTTTTATAAATTCAAAGTGGGGGATAAATTTTGTCTCTAATGAAACATTTGTGAACTTTTGAATCTTCAAGTATATCCTACATATCATGTGTGTCAAAGGTAAGTGTTTTGCATGTTAAAATTTTGGCATGTTTAATAGAGGGGGATCACATTTTTTTTAAAATGTTTTTAAGGGGGGAATAAAATAAAAATAGTGAAATATTATGTGGGATCAAGAAAATTTTATATGTTTGATTTCAAAATGACCAGGTAAAAAATGATAATTCCCTTAGATAAATGATCTTTGCCTTGATCATCATGACAATATTTATTCATCATTCACTTCGTCAAAATAATTAATAGAATACTAAAGGAAACCTGTTTACCAGGGTAAGTTAACAGCATACTACTCATTCATTCTTTCGAATTTTAACTATTGTCCAGTAATTTGGCACTACTGTAGCGAAAAAAATTCTTTTAAAATGGAAAAAATTCAAGAAAGAGCTCTAAGATTCATTTATGAAGATTATGATAGTCCATACGAAAAACTGCTAGAAAAATATAAATTACCATCTTTAAAAATAAGAAGAATAAAAACAATTGCAATAGAAACATTTAAAATAATTCACAAAAAAAGTCCGAGCTACCTTCATGATTTGATTGATATAAAAATTAACAAGTATGATGTAAGATCACAGGAAACAGCAGTACCCCCAAGGGTCCGAACTACTAAGTATGGCTTAAAATCGTTTCGCTATAATGCTGCACAAATCTGGAATGAGCTGCCGAACCATTGTCGAATGGAAACATCTTTTGACCAATTCAAAAAATTGGTACAAACATGGGATCCAAGTAACAGCTCATGCCAGTGCAGTGCATGCATCATATATAGTGTTATACCTGTGTTTATTTTATTTTGACTATTTGATTTGTGCAATCTTATTATTAACTTGTGCTATGTTTTAAGTGTACTATACTTTTAACTTATATATGTCATTTATGGTATCTTACTATGCATTATATGTTTAAAATTGTCATATTGTTTTCATGACTTTTGTATGTGTGTATTGTATTTTGTTATTAAGTCGATTTGAAAAGCTCACTAGAGCTTGTGTTTATGTAGTTTATGGAATATCGACTCTAAATAAAACTTTGAATCTTGAATCTTGAATCAATAAAAAGGGTGCGAACGTGTAACTAGGGTGCGAACGGACCCAGGGGGCGAACGGACCCATGGGGCGAACGTTAATGGGAGCGAACGGATCCGGATTCATAAAATAATTATTTATAAGATCATTTTTTAAATAAACAATTTAGCCTTTCAATACATTCACTTAAAAAATACTAGACTTATTATTTTTTCAAGTGTTTTATCGCTTTTAAATTAAAAACAAAAAAAACAAAAAAAAAACAACAAATTTAAAATAATTTACAGATTGTAAAGGTCGGATGATAAGTAATGATTTTAGTTACATTTTTTTTGTCAGGACTTCAGCGACAGATACATTCGCCGACAGGCTGGCAAATTGTCTGCATTCTTTTGTTGTGTATCATTCCTTCAGTTGCAAGCGTGAAAAATAAGAATGTCTGAACAAAAGTATGATTTTGTGGTTTTTGGTGCCAGTGGTTTTACAGGACAGTTTGTAGTGGAAGAGATTGCTCGAATTGCTGACGAGGAAGCTGGTTTGACATGGGCGGTTGCTGGGCGATCTATGGAAAGATTACAGAAAATTTTGGAAAAAGCATCAAAAGCTACAGGTACTATTAACAAGATTTTCCTATAGGAGATTTTTGAAGGGAGCTCCATGACGCCCTGACTCTTTATTTTAGTGCCCTATTCTAATCTGTTTGTTTCATGTCAGCTGAAATTTATAATCTAGTCACTTCAGCACCTGCCCTGGTCAAATCGGCACCAGGAATGGTCAATTTGGCACCTATTCAATTCGGGACCTTGTTAATTCAGCACCAAAGGTAGTTATTTCAGCATCTATGGTAGTCCAAATAATTAAGATGTCTTGTAAGGCTATTTTATTTTTTTGCTTTGACGCCTTAACATGACACTGAACTCATTTTTTCAGTTGGACTTTGAGAGAGAGTTTACTGCTTTATTAAAACGTTTAGCTGATTTCTACTCAAGACGCTTCACTTTAGGAGTATCAAATAAATTTTTGCACCAAACTTGGTAACATTTGATGGACCTGAATATCTGGATACTATAAAACTAATGATCCGGAAATTTGGGTCAGTCCCTCCTATTTTACCGAGTTTGGTGCAAAAATTTATTTTATACAATATACTCTCCTAAAGTGAAATCAGCTAAATATCTAGCCATCAATGAAAATTTTATGACTAAATGGGGTCTCAAAGTTGAGAGCAAAATTCCCTCTCAAAATCCAACCAAAAAAGATGGCTTCAGCATCAAAGCAAAAGAATAAAATAGCCTTACAAGACGTCATAATTATTTGGACTACACCTATGGTAATTATTGATTTGCAAGTAAAATACTTTTTCTTTTATATTTATTTTATATTTTCACTCGATAATTGTGACAGTAAGTCAGTTTGGCCTTTTATCATGATTATTCAGGGCTCACTCTACATGCTCTAGCAGGTGACTGGGGCGAAAAAGTCACTTTCAGGTCCGTCACTTTGCTTTGCCCTGACCGTCAAAAGCGATATCTAGTCGCCCTGGTATTCTAAATAGTCATTTGCAGTTGCTTTCGTCATCAGCAATTTTCCATTTGTACCAAGTCAATAAAACAGCAATTTTTCATTTATAAGTAAAGAAATTCAACATGTTCAGATGTTCAAAGACGGAAACAATTTGTTTCGTTAGAAAAGCTTTGAAAGTATTGACTTTACAGATTGGTCGTATGTTATTTCAAAGAAAATGATGGAGTATTTCTTCATTGAAATATTTGTACTAACCATGGATTGGAGGCGGGATTCATTGGAAGCGGATCAGCTATGACCGAAATCCGTATTCTTACAATAATACCTACATTGTACAGACGCACCAATGCAATGGAACAGCTGACAGAAGAATAATGATCCCAAACGTGAAAATTTGCATTCCATGCACATAAAAAACCTTTGTTTAGATCTTCTTGCTAAATGTTTATATTTCTATGTGAATGCATTGTTTCAATTTATTGATTAAAATTGCTTAACTTTGCTAAATTTATATATCTTTTTAATGATAAACAAAAGAATTTCATAAACATGATAAACAGAGTAGTTTTTCGATTGAATTATAATTGATATATGATACTTTCTAATATTTTTTGTTATAAAAAAAGATCTTTTTAGTGCTAGATATATAGTTGGAAGTTTCTGACAAGAGGAAAAAAATATAATTGAGTAACAATAAATGACTATTTAAGACATAAACTGAAACAACTGTTACTTTAATTGCATTCTCAGGTAAGAATTGAACAATATAAAATACATTTAAATAAAATTATAGGATACATATGGCTCTTTATATTTTGGTAAAAACAAAACATTTGGCCGTGAGCAAACAAGCACTTCTCTTTTAAGTCTCACCACTTTTCCCTATCAGTTTCAAAAAGAGAAGCCACTTCTCCCTATGATTCTGAGCCCTGTTTATTCTAAATTTCACATGATAAAACCAACCACAGGGGATATACATTTATCTTACCTCCTATACATTTCTAGGAATATGATTGGTTGAAAGCAACCGCATGGAGGCTGTGTATATTCCATATTGGGTTAGTAGGCAGGGCTTAGTTCAATACACGGTTAGTTGTGGTGTTACATCCCTTTATAAAAAGAACACGGTGTTGAGGAAAACTCTTGAAGGTTTCAACAGTTGGAAGAAATTTATGATGAAAGATTGAAACAAATTCATTAAACACATTTAAAGCTAACAAATTGTTATTGTTGGCATTTGTTTTTGCATCTATAGACCAATGGAAGTAGGTTCTTAATACTAACAGTATTGAAGACTTGATCACTTTGATAGGCCACTTGTCTAAATACCAAATGTTAAGATAGTCGGTAAGATCAATTTCTTTACATAGTGTGCTAGTGACCTAATAAGATATATATGGCGTCATTAAATTCCATATGGGGATTCTAGCTTCGCTCTCGACCCATTTGGAATTTACTGACCCCATATATATTGTATTAGGTCACTAGCACACTATGTAAGGCCAGACTTAAAAATAAGTTGGTTTGCCCAAAAGCTACCCAAAGGTAGAGACATTGGGTAGGTAGGTAGGCATTTTCTTTTTTTTCGGCAAAGAGAAATTAAAGTGTCAGATGTTTTTTAGTCTTCATGCCTATCTGATTAAAAAAAAAAACTTTTTCACATCAGGACAATAAAAGATTTTGAGTAGGCAGATATTTTCTCGGTAGGTAGGGTTAGGGCAAACAAACATATTCTTTTTAATGGCCTAACTGATAATACACCCTTTAAGTCATGTAATTTAAATAGCTTTTTATACGACCGCAAAAATTTTTTTGTGGTCGTATATTGGTATGACGTTGGCGTCGTCGTTGTCGTCCGAAGACGCATTAGTTTTCGCACTCTAACTTTAGTTTAAGTGAATGGATCTCTATGAAATTTTACCATAAGGTTCAATACCACAAAAGGAAGGTGGGGATTGATTTTGGGGGTTATGGTACCAACAGTTAAGGAATTAGGGGCCAAAAAGGGGCCAAAAATAAGCATTTTCTAGATTCCAGACAATAACTGTGGAACGGTGTATGGATCTCTCTGAAATTATACTACAAGTTTCCATACCACAAAGGGATGGTTAGGATTTGCTTTGGGGGGTTATTGCTCAAACCGTTTAAGAATTAGGGGCAAAAAAGGGGGAAAAACAAGGTTGTCCTCATTAATGGACAAATACTTTAGTAAAAAACATAATTTAAAGCAGTGTAAGGGAGATAAATCAAATACATCATTGAAATTATCTCCCTTACACTGCTTTTAAATTATGTATAAAGTAATGGTTAATGAACAATTAAGATAATTTAAAACAGTGTAAGGGAGGTAATCCAAATACAACGTTTTGGTTACTTCCCTTACACTGCTTTTAAATTATGTTTAAAGAAATGCATATTTATAAAGGAAGACCAGTATGGCGCATTAGATTTGTAAAATCTTTGACCACATTTATTTATTTGTTTTCCCGAATCTAACCGTGTATTTAGATTTTTAATTTTGGGTCCAGTTTTCAAATTGGTCTACATTAAGGTCCAAAGGGTCCAGAATTAAACTTTGTTTGATTTTAACAAAAATTGAATATATGGGGTTCTTTGATATGCTGAATCTAAACATGTATTTAGATTTTTGATTTTTGGCCCAGTTTTCAAGTTGGTCCAAATTGGGGTCCAAAATAAAACTTTGTTTTATTTCAACAAAAATTGAATATATGGGGTTCTTTGGTATGCTGCATCTAACCATGTATTTAGATTTTTTATTTGTGGACCCCGCTATCAAATTGGTTCATATTGAGGTCAAAAGGGTCCAAAATTAAACTTTGTTTGATTTCATCAAAAATTGAATTATTGGGGTTCTTTGATATGCCAAATCTAACCGTGTGTTTAGATTTTTAATTTTGGGTCCCGTTTTTTAAATTGGTCTACATTAAGGTCCAAAGGGTCCAAAATTAAACTTAGTTTGATTTTAACAAAAATTGAATATATGGGGTTCTTTGATATGCTGAATCTTACCATGTATTTAGATTTTTTATTTGTGGGCCCGCTATCAAATTGGTTCATATTGAGGTAAAAAAGGTCCAAAATTAAACTTTGTTTGATTTCATCAAAAATTTAATAATTGGGGTTCTTTGATATGCCAAATCTAACCGTGTATTTAGATTTTCAATTTTGGGTCCCTTTTTATGAATTGGTCTACATTAAGGTCCAAAGGGTCCAAAATTAAACTTAGTTTGATTTTAACAAAAGTTGAATTTTTGGGGTTCTTTGATATGCTGAATCTAAACATGTGTTTAGATTTTTTATTATGGGACCAGTTTTCAAGTTGGTCCAAGTTGGGTCCAAAATTAAACTTTGTTTGATTTCAACAAAAATTGAATATATGGGGTTCTTTGATATGCTGAATCTAAACATGTATTTAGATTTTAGATTTTTGGCCCAGTTTTCAAGTTGGTTCAAATTGGGGTCTAAAATTAAACTTTGTTTGATTTCAACAAAAATTGAATATATGGGGTTCTTTGATATGCTGAATCTTACCATGTTTTTAGATTTTTTATTTGTGGGCCCGCTATCAGATTGGTTCATATTGAGGTCAAAAGGGTCCAAAATTAAACTTTGTTTGATTTCATCAAAAATTGAATTATTGGGGTTCTTTGATATGCCAAATCTAACCGTGTTTTTAGATTTTTAATTTTGGGTCCCGTTTTTTATACGACCGCAAAAATTAAAAATTTTTTGGTCGTATATTGGTATGACGTTGGCGTCGTCGTCGTCGTCGTCGTCCGGCGTCGTCCGAAGACACATTGGTTTTCGCACTCTAACTTTAGTTTAAGTGAATGGATCTCCATGAAATTTCACCATAAGGTTCAATACCACAAAAGGAAGGTTGGGATTGATTTTGGGGGTTATGGTACCAACAGTTAAGGAATTAGGGGCCAAAAAGGGGCCAAAAATAAGCATTTTTGTAACTTTCAGACAATAACTTGTGTGTAAGTGTATGGATCTCTCTGACATTGTACCACAAGGTTCCATATCACAAAGGGAAGGCTGTAATTGATTTTGGGGGTAATT